TTTCCTCAAAAGCCTTGGTGGCCAATGTCGTCCAGTTAAATTCCCCTTTCTTCAAACAATCAGTTATTGGACCCACTATGGTGCTAAAATTCCTGATAAATCTCCTATAAAACGTGGTCAGTCCGTGAAAACTTCTAACATCTCTAATGTTCTTAGGTTCAGGCCATTCATTGATTGCTCGCACCTTTTCGGGGTCAGTAGATATGCCTTGAGAAGAAATAATAAATCCAAGGAAGGTTACTTGATTCGTTAGGAATGTGCACTTCTTAGGATTGTCATACATTTGTTCCTTCCTCAAAATTTTACAAACTTGTCTTAGATGATTCAAATGTTGTTCCACCGAATGACTGTAGATTAGGATATCATCAAAATATACTACTACAAAATTTCCAAAGAATGGCCTAAGGATCTGAGTCATTACTCTCATAAAAGTGCTAGGTGCGTTACTCAAACCAAAAGGCATTACTGTCCATTCATACAATCCATCTTTGGTCTTAAAGGCGGTCTTCCATTCGTCTCCTGGGCGTATCTTAATCTGGTAGTAGCCACTCTTGAGATCAATCTTAGAAAAAAGTGTGGCTCCAGTCATCATGTCTAGCATGTCATCTAATCGAGGGATAGGGAAGTGGTACTTGACTGTGATTTTGTTGATAGCACAGCTATCAACACACATTCTCCACGACCCATCCTTTTTAGGGGTAAGAAGGGCGGGGACAGCGCACGGGCTAAGACTTTCCTTAATGAATCCCCGTTGTAACAACTCGTCCACTTGCTTCTTGAGCTCCTCGTGCTCAGTAGGGTTCATTCGGTAGTGGGGTATATTTGGCAAAGAGGCTCCAGGTACTAGGTCAATAGCGTGTTGAATGTCCCTTAAAGGTGGCAGTTGGTGGGGTAGATCTTCAGGGAAGATATCAGAAAAAGTTTCCAAGAGTGGTCTGACTTCCTCAGGGATAGGTTCTTCTTGATCTACCCTCACTTCCCGAGCTACTAACGCGTAAAGAGGGGCTCCTGACTCTAGTTCCATACCTAAGTCTTTAGCAGTTAATAAGTTCAAGCCCTTGTTGGGTTTCAGGGAGTTGGGTTTAACTTCTTCTTTGGTAGACTTAGGTTAAGTGGGTAAGAGTTTAATTTTCTTGCCCTCGTGTTCAAACACACAGGTGTTTGATCGGCCATAAATATGTACATCGTTATCGAACAACCAAGGGCGGCCAATGATGATTTGACCCACATCCATTGTCAAAACATCGCACCAGATTTTCTCTTTATATCCAATGAACTCAATAGGAACAAGACTCCTATCCCTCACCTCCAAGGTGGTAGAGTTGATCCAGGCGACTTTCTAGGGGTTTGGGTGTGGTGTGGTCCTCAATTGAAGTTTCGAAACCATAGCAGAAGATACGGCGTTAATACAACTTCCACTGTCTATTATGACCTTGCAATTCTTATCTCCAATCTTAGTGAAAGTGTAGAAGATCGAGGTGCTGTAAGGTCTTCTCTCAATCCAGCTCTAAACATTGGTAGAAGTTGGGTAGGAGTGGTGGTTTCTTCTCCGTTACAGCGTATCATGAAATCATCAAAGGCTGCGATGTATTCTCTTACGGGTTTGCTTCCTTGGGTCAACCTATTCCAACGATCCAAAGCCTGGGGTAGTAGGAAGGAGGGAGGTACTTCCGTTTCAATTCTTGTTTCATTGTTCCCCAGTCAGCCACGGGGTATTCTCCTCGGGTTTCTCGCATATGTTCTAGGTTAGCCCAATACTGGTTAGCTCTACCAGTTAACTTCATCTCGGCAAATCGGACTTTTCTCTCTTCCGAAATATTATGCCACTTAAAATAGCTGTCCATCCCTTTGAGTCAGTCAAGAAAAACTTGGGGTTCTAACGTACCATCAAACGTCGGGGCATCTATCTTAATACTCTTAAGGAGTTGGGTATTGTTGTCCCTCCAAGGTGCGTCACGTCTTACCTGCTCTTGATGGGGTCGGTGATTGGGTCGGTAGTAGTCTCTAGGAGGTCCGTACTCAGTTCGGTTATCTTCGTCATAAGGAGATTGGGGTCTAGAGGGGGTGTAGATGGCCGGGTGTCCTATCCTTTCGATGTTGTCTAGTCTTTCTCCCGTATGACGCTTAAGCTCCGCTAAACTCATTTGGGTATCCCTTATTTGTTGCGTAACTGTACCCAATTGGCCCACAATCATGTCTAAGGTCACTTGCATATGTGCGGGATCCATGGTTGGGTGTTGGGGATTGCTAGGGGAGGTTACAGACAAGGGGGCAGCACCTAGACACTCTAAAATATTAACTCCTAAGGGCTCCAAAAAGTGCAGGAATTAAGAAGGACAGCAAGCTAAATGATGGACGAAGTTACCTAAGTAATTTGGGTGGATTCTAGAGTGTGGACAGCAGGTGAATACTATCTAGAACCCGCCCAAAAGGCTACTAAAAGGCGCAGAAATTAAGTGGACAGCAACCTGAGTTAGATGTCTAAGTGGCCTAAACTAATATGGAGGTTATGATATTGAAGGCAACACTTAAACAGGGAACAATGCTTATGTAGAACAAAGAAATTACTACAGGAACTACTGGACAGCCAAAGCAAAATAGTAAATAAAACTATCTAGATGATGTTATGCATGCAAACGACTAAAGGCAAGCTAAAGTAGACTCCTAGGTTGCATCTAGCACAAGTAAAGCATGCTAGCCATGCTCTGATACCAAGATGATGTGAATCAAACAGGAGTTGCTTGTGGAAGCTAAAATGAAAGTTAACTAAAGTGTTACCACCACAAATTTATCACCAATAAAATAAGGATTAAATATATTCTAAGTAATCAACTTGCTTAGGCGAAGAGTTGCTTTGAGATAACCAAACAATTCATAAACATTCAAAGATAAAAGAACTACTTAAATGCTCATAACAAAATCCCATGATTAATAATGAGAAAATTCACCTCGAGCACCTTCTCACTCATTCACTCTTTGGCTTTTGGCGGAGAAGAAAGAACCACACGAGGATGGAGAGCACCATTACAGAAAAGGAGACGAAGGACTTCGTTACCGGAGAGGTAGCCGCCGGTGGGGGAGGCGATGGATGATGCCCGGTGATTGTCCAAACGTAGTCTTGAAATCGGCGGTCGATGACGTGCACAAGTGTAGGGAGAATTCGCTCCAAGTATTCGCCAACTGTGTCTTCTTGCTCAAACCCCGTGTCGAAGAACGGAGATCATAGGACGTTGAGACTACCGTCGGCGTTGAACACAAGCCCCCACTCAAATTCGGGATCCGCCATTCAACAATGAAGTGGGGACGGGAAGGAGAAAAGAAAGGAGGAGTTGGGTCGTGAGCTAGGGAGAGACTTGGGGAAAATTTGAATTTGAATTTTAGATTTTCTTGGATTGGAGGGAGATGTTATTTGTCATTAAAGTCTCCCTAAATTATATTAAAGAGGGGCAGCTATTAGGGGGGAAATTAAGAGGTTAATTAGTGGATGCTTAGGTGGCAAGGAGAGAGAGAGAGTAGGCTAGATGGGGTGGCCGGCCAAGCAAGGAGGAGAGAGAGGGAATTTGGGTAATTGGTGGGGCCCAAGGAGTTAATTAAAATTTGATTTTTAACTTTCTGATTTTAATTAATTAGGGAAGTTTTAAATGAGGGAGAGGGAAAATTTGAATTCAAATAGATTAATCCTCACTTAATTTTCTTGCCTAATAAAGATGACAAATTAGGAAGGTAGGCGTCCTTTTTCTCTCAAGCTCTCAAGCAAGAAGAAGATGAAATCTCTGAAATTTTTATTAATCAAACATTAAGCTCATACAATAGGTGGAGACCTCTTTATAAAGGCCTCATCAAAAGAAAATAACATGACTCAAATGCCCACAGGGCTACAACAAAGACTAAACCTTCAGAAGGGCAAAATAGTAAACTAAAGCTTGAAATAAAAGATACATAGAAAATATCATAAGATGACATGGCAACATCAGAAATATAAGCTCCTAATCATAGCCATCGATCTACGATTCCTTCGCCGATAGACCTGCCTAAAATGTCTGTCGATGGCCTCATCACAATGGGGATAAGGCTCCTATATTTTACTTCTAAAGCGGTCAAATTGATCCACGCAACCTTGTAGGGATTCAGGCGGGGAACCATTTTCAGATTAAGTGTGGTAATCATGGTGGAAGAGACAGCATTAATGCAGCTTCCAATGTTTGTTCTTGTTATCAATCTTGGTGAAGGTGTGAAAGATGGAAGTTCTACACCAGTCGTCACTCAGCTTAGGTTGAGATAAGGCACACCTAACAACTTGAAGTTCAACATGATCCATTTTTTGCAGGCAGTGAATCATGGCGGTATCTTCTTCACAAAAGAAATCATCCTTGGCATCAGTATGATGAACTAATTCAGTATCATGCTCATCTTCATCCTCGACAACTTCTTCAATTATGGTGACTTTATAAGGGCTGGAGCATTGCGAGGCAATGTGTCCATATCCATGACACTTAAAACACTTGGTTCCTGGGTTAGTTTTGGGTGCCTCACGCTTAGGAGTTTTACCCTTGTAGTCAGGGCGGTGTTGGAATTGGCCACCAATGGGCCGACCAGTCATAGGGCCGGGAGGTTTGTTTTGAGATTGACTGGGGGCAGTTTTGAAAGGAGGTGGTCGGGTGTCTAGGTTATGAGAATGGGACTGAGTCCTAGACTCTTCAAGATCAAGTACAAGACTACAAGCAGCTTCAAGAATATAAAAGTTCATTACGATAAGGAAAAAGAGGAGAGGGGTTCAAGAGAGGCTATGAGAATTGGAGAATTATAATAACGTTTATGATAAAGTTTGAAGTGAATGGCATTTGATTTGCTGATTGGATGTTGTATGATTGAAAATATGCTGAAATGAAATCAAGTGAAAAGCATGTTTCTTTCCACACAAGCACTCACATAGATGCACACTAACAAACATGGCAATTTGCTATATGCGCTATCGAATTAATACCTATTTTTCTATGTAGTTCATGTTGCAAGAACCTGAAGAGAATGAGAATCCTCATATTACATGCAATCTTTCATGTGACTGCTCTGATTATCTTCTGGGTATGCGTTCTCCACGTCACTGAGCACTATAGATTGTAGTTTAATTCTTTTAGGTACATCATAATTGTTTCTATTTGTATGTTTATGTTTATGATTCCTGTTTTGGCTATTTAGAGGCTGTCTCTGCTGAAACTTTCATGGATTATCCATCAAATAGTGAAGCAACTGTTAGAAATATGGAATACACAAGTCAGGTGCAGTGCATGGACAGAGATGTTGATGAGGTTAAGCCTGACTATATTGCCAGAACATTCGCCATTGCCACATTGGACCACTCAACTGGTGCCCCAGATTCTACAAAATTTCTAAGTCATGATACCTTACACGGTACATTTTTTCAAAATGCCTCTTTAGAGGCCCAAAAATGGCTCAAGCATGAATTATTATTATTTGACCAGCAGAATTTAACTGAATTGGGTAATGTGTGTGACCAAATGGATAGTGCATTTCTCTCAAGCGAAAATGAAGATGATATGATTTTAATTCCTGGAAATGAAATACCTGAGAGAGTTTTTAGTTCTTTTGTAAGCTTGCCACACACTGGTGCTTTGGTGTCCAGTGCAGCAAAGAATGAACTTCCATATAGGGACGGACAAGCTGCTCTTGACTGTCGAGGACAAGAAATTTTAGGAACAACAAATGATTCAATGATGACTACCAAGAGATTAAGGAAGCCTACTCGAAGATACATTGAGGAATCATCAGAAACCAAACCCAGGAGCTCCTACGACAGACTCAAAACATCTCTCATTAGCTCCAAAGAAAAGCTTCTTCATGCAAGAGCGGCAGGGAAGTGTCGCTGGAGTGGTGCAGTGCAACTACTTTATCAAGATTATCCTGGTAGGGTGCATTCTTTGAGAGGTTTCCGTAGAAAAAGAACCAAACAATTGGTGAGTCACATTTTTCTTTAAAAATTTTGCATTTGTCTGATGTGCCTTATTATTCCTTTTTATATTGAGTTGCAAGTTAGGTAGCTTTGTTTGTGTAGGGGGATTTTATAGCATAGTAGTAATTGCTGGTTTTGTCGGGCCCCCTGGTTCTATGTTAAGTGATAATTGTTTGTTGTATGAATGCTGTTATGCGTTGTTAGATGATAAACCAAACTTGGACAAGTCAGCCTTCAGAAATATCCGGATGATTCGATGATTTTTGTTGCATGAGTTCACCTTTTTTTTTTTAGTACTGATGTCTGACAAAACAAAAGTTTTTTGTAATGGGGGAGGTGGGCTTGTGATGACAGGGTTGGGTGTGAGCGAAAGAGGGATGATTGGCACAATTGGGGGGAACCACCCCCTTGGGAAATGAGAAATTTTGTAGGAAGCAAGGTTGACGAAGGTGGGTTGAGGAAGGTGACCTGAGAGTGAGGAAACTGAAGATGTCTATTTTTGAGGGAGAAGATGAGCACGAGTGGATCTACAACGTTGAAAGGTATTTCGTCATCAACGGGTTGACTGAGGAGAGACTGATTGCAACGAGCCTATGTTTGGAAGGAAAGGCTTTGGCTTGGTACCAATGAAAGGACATGCGATGACCAATATGGAGTTGGAAGGAGTTATTATTTGGTAGAACATTTTCGAACTGGTAGGGTAGGAGACTTCTATGAGCAGTTCTTCGTCTTGTCCCCGGCAGGGGATGACTTTGCCTCTAGTAGAGGGGAACTTTATAAAGGATTGAAACCAGAGATTTGTGCGGCAATTAGAGTGATGAGGCCTCATGACTTGGGAGAGGCTATGGAGCTAGCTCAGTTGGTGGAGGATTAGAGGCACCTGGAGAAAGAGATAGAAGGTAGCAGCTGAAGAGGCACATACAAGAGGACTCCCACCTTTTTGGCATACAAGGAACTGACATCGGGTACCCTTCAAGAGACCCCGAAGGAGAAGACTATTAGTGTAAGGCTCAGGGACAACTTCAAGAAGCTCATAGAAACAGGATTATAGGAGAAAAGGGCGAATGTGTTCTATTTCAGATGTGATGAAAGATATACATATTGGGGTACAGGTGTAAGGACCGAACTCTTCAGGTTCTTATCGTTTGTAATGAAGATGGAATGGAGAACGGGGTTGTCTTTCCACCTTGCGGACAAGGTGGATCTTTGGGAGGAGATTATTGTTAGATCGGTACAGCCAGCTCGACGTAACCTGCGGAAGTTTTCTGCCCCCTGTAAGAGTCGATCGGACCGCAAGAGCCAACAGAGCTTTTTGGGATGGATTTTTTAGTGAGATATGAGGAAAATTTGAATGTAGTGACTATTTAGAGATTTCCTTTTGGATTGTATGCATTAAATAGTTGGTTTTCCTAGAGTTAGGGCATCTTGAATTTGGCTGAAATTTGAGATATCTTAGTTTTTTTTGGGCTCTAGCGGCATCTAGAGATTTGGGAGAGATAGATCCTCCTCTCCTCTCGAATAGAGGATCAATTGTATCTTGTTATTGTCCTTCCGCTAGTTTGATTATTCCAATAAAAACTATTGTTTTTCATATTTTTCCTTTGGATTGGTTGATCGTTCTTGTTGTTTTTGTTAAGATTGTTAGGTTTCACTTGAGATCTTAAGTGTTTTCTAGCAGCTTTCATGTAGTGGACATGAACAAAAATAAATGACTTGGCATCGGTACATGTTTATTTATTTATATGTAAAATATCCATTCCAAACTATGAAATGATTGTAGTAAACATATTTTCAAGTACCAAACACGAAGGATACTAAATTTTGGAATTTGTAACAAACTACTAAAAGAGGAAGAATGAGAATGGGATTTCGATTTAGTTTATAGTTGACTTAGTGTGGCATATGCTGTTACCTAATTGGAGCGCCAATTATTCTCCGCGTTGTATCCAGCAAGTGTTACGAAATTGCTATATAATAAAAATGAGAATAAACCAAATGGTGTGCTTGAGAGCCAAGTGTGCTGCTGAGTTCAACACAGTAATCCTTCAGAAGTGTTAGTGCGTCATAGGATCCAATTTTAACAACTTGATTTTGGTCTAACATATCATGAGTTCTGTGCCACATAAAATTATCTTTAAATTTATGTTTCAGACTCAACATAATGTCAAGTGTAGTTCAACATCTTCTCGTAGGATGCTTTGCCATCAGTGTACAGAGACGTATTCTGCCATAACTTCTTGAATGGATTCACTGTTTCAACTTGATTTAGTTCTATTTTAGAATTTTGGATTATTGTGTTGTCTTTACCTATTCCATATTACTTTTGATGTATAGCTATATTGCTGATCATACTTTATATTTAGGAGAATGATGGCAAGGGATATAATTTGACTCCAGAATCTGCAAAAATCTCATGCTTTCAAGACTCTGAACTGCAAGATGATCCATCTGATGAGCACCCTACAAGAGTTCATAAACGAAGGAAGCATCACAGGCAGTGGACACATTCTGAAGTTGCTAAACTTGTTGATGGTGTTTCTCAGTATGGAGTCGGCAGATGGACTGAAATAAAGAGATTGTTTTTCTCAACTTCTTCTTATAGAACTGCTGTGGATCTCAAGGTACGTTATTTATGTGTGTGAATCGATTGTTTCTATGATGATTTTTCGTTCTCTCACCAAGCAACCTATGTGGGTTTTTGCAGGATAAATGGAGAAATCTCTTGAGGGCCAGTCTTGCAGATCCAGCTAACAAGAACCTGGTTAGTTCTCTACTCTCTTTGGTTATATTTCTGGCCTTATGGCTAAGACTGATAATGAAGAGTGGCTTAGATACATACCACTATTTATATATCTATCTCCTAAATTTCTATATCTACTTAATGTAATATCGTATAAAAATATAATTAATATTGTTGCAGGCTAGAATATTCATGGCGGTAAAATACGAAAAACTTCACGTCTTAGCGTTGCACGAGTATCTAGCTCACAAACAGAGAATAGAAACACTAGAATTTTTAAGATGGAAAACCCTAAAAAGAAAATCACGAGGTTACACCAACTTGAAATGAATTCACTAGTGTTTGAATAAATTACAAATGATTGATTCATCCTTGAATTTGAGGACAATCAGATTACAATATTCAACTGTTAGATTGAAATCTAGTGACGAACAAGGATTGAAAGGAAGTCCGACGATGGTCGGTGGCTAGATATAAATTCAGTGTCAATTAGTAGCCAGACAAAAGTCCAACGATAGCTGGTGGTCGGACGGAAGTCCGGCGACAGTTGGTGGCTGGGAAGACATCTGGAAACAGTTAGTGGCTGGAACCGGCAGCGATCGGTGGCCAGGTGGCGGTCGAGGTGGAGTTTGGTGGCAAGAGAACTCAGATTTCTCTTCCATGCCTCTCGTCATTTCCTTGCTTTGGTCTTCTTCAATAAAGAATGAGTGGTCTATTTATAATTTGTTGAGAATGACATAGATAGTAAATAGAAAAAAGATCAGGGGCATGATGAGAGTGTTTTGAATGGACAATTGGTATCGGAACTTTTATTACGTTCGGTGCAAGGACGTAGAGGAACGTCCGGTCGGAGGCAATTTCCCGTCCAAAAACTAGGTATTTGCTCGGTACAACTAGGTATTATTTGATAATAATGAAGAATACCGTTCTATGAAGACCAATACCGAGTTATACCTAGCTGTACCGAGAAATACCGAGTTGTACCGAGTTTTTCTGGGAAAAACTCGGTACAACTTTGGTATAACTCGGTATTTGCTCGGTAAAGCCCGGTATAACTCGGTATTGGGTCTTCAAATGATAGTATTCTTCGTTATTGTTTGGTATTGCTCGGTATTTGCTCGGTACAACTCGTTTTTTGGCGGGAATTTGCCTCCGACCGAACGTTCCTCTACGTCCGGTCGGAGGACGTAATAATTGTTCATTGGTATCGACTCTATTGATCTTGGACTATTTATCAAAAATTTTATTGTCTTAATGATATCAAAATTTGGTGATCTTGGGCTCATTGGATTCGTATTGATGAGTTGCTCGATTTGACTGCAAGCATGTCACGTTTGGAAACCGTTTGGTCATCCAATTTATGATTTGAACCTTCCAAATGTGCTATGGGTCTTCTATTTGGATCCATTTAGTCTCGGATTTGGTCGAATTTGATTTCGTTGGTTTCATCTTTTCGAGATGTTCATTTCGACTATAAGTTGCTGAAATCATACGGTAGCAGATTTAATTCCAGACATTTTTCAACTCAATTTTGTTTCGAGATTCGTGCCCAATTATGATTAATTTTTATGATATAGCAAATAATAATTTATTAAAATGAAATACGATGTTTTCTTGTATAAATAAAGAAGAAATCAGTGGAATATATGCGAATCTCCCTAATAAATGTTGAACTTACATGGTTTTGATTACTTAATGCAAGGTTGAGCCACAGAAGAAACATGCTTCTGCTCCCATGCCCGAATCAATTCTGCAGCGAGTAAGAGAACTTTCTATTATTCACCCTTATCCCAGGAGCCAGAAATCGACAATTACAGATCTGCCCATCCTTCCTCCACCCACTTCATTAACTAATACTGAAGATGCTCTCAATCGAAGCGGCAGAATTCTGCACAGGCTGAGTTTTTCTTAGTCGTCTACCAAATGTAAATACCACATGTGGTTCTTGTGCATATATGCTCGCCTATACAGCACCAAATTTTCTGCAATTTTGCACCAATATGTGCATTTTTTTCTGGCTAAAGCCTTTAGGTTTCTCTGTTTCATTTGAAGCTGATTGATCACTTGGAACCTATTAAATTCGATGGATTGCAGCTGTAATTATGCTACGGCCATTTTTTTCCTGTGGCTATTATTTCAGTTGGACTTTTACTTTCTAATTAATTTTCTCTGCTGGAAATCGGTGCTACCGTACGGGTAAGGAATCGGTTCGTTAAGGTAATGATTAGGATAGACTATTCTGTGCGGAGACCGGACGGCTAGAACTGTCCAGATTTGTTATCTTTTTACTGCACTTTTGCCGAGTAATGAAAATACTTGGCAAAAGGGCAGAAAATATGAAATTATTAATGCAATTTTGTTGAGTATTTGCTGTGTTTTTATATATGGGCAGCAAAAGTGCAGTAAATAGTTAATTAGTAGGATATTTGTTACGCTATAGTTGGATTTTTGCTGCCATTTCATAAAAAAAAGCAACAAATATTTAACAAAAATGCATTCATAATTGCATATTTTTTGCCCTTTTGCTCAGTATTTGCAAAAGGACAATAAATTTGGACGGTTCTCGTCATACGATTTCCTCACAGAATAATTTTTCAAAAATTAGTGTAGGGAAGTTGTGGGTGCTGAAATGTAAAACTTTAGCAAAATACTCATTTGGTCATCAGAAAACGTTTAAAAAAGATGATATTTTAGTATCATTTGGCTGAATGTTAAAAATTAATATGGATTTTCATTTCTAAAATTTTGAACATTGTTAATTAGAGCAATTTATTTTTATGTTCAAAATAAGTAAATATAAATATTTTTTTGTTAAACATTTTTCTTCGAGAAATGAACCTTATGATAAGAAAAATTTATTTTGTGCGGATACCGGATGTCATCCGGAGGCGAATCAAAGCTCATCTCGTAATTCTTTGTTGTGTGTCGCAGTTATGCGTTTGCTATGTACTAGGTAATGTGGTACGTTCTGTTTCGCCTTCGGACGATCTGAGGTCCGCATAGAATAATACATCTATGAAAATTAGAGGCAAAGTACAGAAATGCAACTCAATTGCAGATAGGTAAATTATCGGGTTATGTTGCAAAAAGAGCTATGCACAAAAAAAAAACAAAAGCCAAAACTTTAAATAAGATAAACAATAAGATTTTTAGCAGAGTGGCTTTTTTTATGTAGCTTCTCACAGTCCAGAGGCTATTAAAATTAGCTTCAAATGTTCTTTCTTTTCAATCTTTTTTCTTTTCTCTCTCTCCAAATAAAATTTAAGGAGCAGTAAATTATCAATCAATAGAGTTTTTTATGAGTAGGGTTAGGGTGGGCATTAAGTCAGATAATTGGAGCATATTGGGTCTTAACAAGAAGCAATCTGTCCAATGAAAAAGAATGGAGATGATAGGTAAAAAGAATTCACATTTTAAAGAAGAAAAAAAATAATAAGTCACACTTAAAGAATAAATGGCATGACTTTCAAGCATTTGATTGCATAAATTGCATATATTTAAGGTGGGGATATTACATTTGATCAACAGTTTTTAAACCCTCCAACATAGCCCAATGGCATAATTTTTATGCTAAATGGAATTATGCCAGATAACTTGTTGAATATCCTCAAAATAGTGCAAAATGCATGATTTAAAGGGAGGACATTAAGACCCTTGCCAACAAATATTGGAAGAGTAGCCATTGTGTATAGAGATATCGGCATTAATATTTTTAACATGCATCGAGAAATTATGAGGAATGTTCCAACCTTGTTGAGAAATGTTAAAACTCACAGTGAGGGAGGAGAACTGATCGAGAGAGGCAGAGTTCACAAACTCAAATATGGCATTGCCATTGCACCATATGAGAGAGAGTTTGTTGTTATGTGTGACTTTGAAAGATATGTCAACTTAATTTTAGAAGCAGTTAACATACTAAACTTCTAGTATTTCGAAGATTTAAAAACAGTTGGCTTCCCAGGTTAGTTGTATTTTTGTCTGCACTAGCTTGCAAAAAGACTAACGCCATTCAAGATATGCCATATAAGAGAGCAGCAAAAGCCATGGTAGAGGGACTGTATGGCTGGAATACCAAGCCCCCCAAAAACTCTAGGTTTATGTACTCTTCCATGATATAAGATGTAATTTCTTGGAGTAGATATTTCATGATATATAAGTCTAGGCCACATCTTGTTTATGTATTCACATCAAATTTTTGATATGATTGACCCTCTAATCCACTATGCCAAAGTATTGTAGATTGTAAATCTCAAGAATTATAATCCGCTAGCAAAAGATAGAATTCTAGCATTCCAATCATCAAGTAGACCAAATAATTTGTGCATTAGAGGATGATAATCAGATAGTAGCAAGCTTTTTAGAGAAACTGACAAATCAAGACATGTCATGGTATTGGTGGCCAAATTAATATTTAGAATGCTTCTACAAATATCACAAGTTGTAGTGGTGTTTGTAGAAAAATAATAGAGCACTTTGCACTGTTGGTTTGGAGGCCAGTTGCAAAAGTAATGGTGTTCAAGATATTGTTAAGGGAAATGCATTTTGAGTTTTAACTTTTCCAAACACTAGCAAATCATCAAAATAAAGTCAGTGGGTGAAGTACGACTTGCCTTCTTTATACCCTTAAAAGAAAGATCAATAACATAGGATTAAATACATTAGATAAAGCCATGATGATACAAAGAGGAAAGGGGAAGAGGAGGCAACCCTGACTAAGATCGAATGCGAACCCAAAGAATCCTTCAAGCACACCATTAAAACACACAAATAATGGACATATTCAATGCAACCTTTAATCCATAAAGTAAAGATACTATTGAAGTCTTTTTGCATAAGTTGGCCAAGCAAAAAGTCTCTAGAAATAGTATCACAAGCTTTGTAAATGTCAAATTTTGCATAAACAATTTTTTTCCACAAGATGAATTAAACTACCCCAACAACTCATTATCTAGCAAAATGATATAAGACTGCCCCAACAACTCATCAGTAGATATCCTCTTCTGAATAAATCTAACTTAGCTAAGATGAATGATATGAGGCATGATATAATTCAACCAGTTAATCAGAATTTTAGTAATAATCATATAAAAAACATTGCAAAGAGATATTGGATGAAAATAAGTGATGTAGCATGAGCATATTTATGAATCAATGCAATGGCAGTAGCTTTGACATTCCTTAGCATATGGCTTTTATGAAAGAAATTTTTAACACCCATACAAACTTAATGACCAATTATCTCCCAAATACATTTATAAAACTCAAAGGTATAGCTATCTGGTCTAGGGGTTGAGTAGGAGGAAGTAGAGAAGACAATTTCTTTAATATCTTCATCTGTAATAGGAGCTATAAAGGAGGAAATGAGGTGGTTGGGGATGGCATTTCCCTCCAGAACAGAATGTGTATTATGAAGGGGAGGCTTAACAGTTTTGAAAAGATTTTGAAAGTGTTTTATGATGGCCAAGGATATATCAGAAGGTGTGGAGTAGATCCCTGAAGGAGTGGCTATTTCCTTGAGTTTGTTGCGATTCTATCTTGTTCTAATTTTACCATATAAAAAAAATGAGATCTCTTGTGCATGACTTCATTCTGAAGTGACCAATTTCAAAGTTGGATTAAGGAAATATATAAAATATGATATATTCGATTGCTTGAAGTTGGAAAATATGTTTTGAATAGTAATCTAATTTGATATTGATGATTCAATTAAGAATTATTATTAAATTAAAGTTTTTTAAATTATTTTGTAGTTTTTTTAAATTTAATTAATCTGATTCAACTAAATAACTACAAGTTGAAGCAAAAATTCGTATAAATCATCAAAAATAAAATAATTGGTAGTTTTTTTGGGGGAAGTTGGGCCATTATTCCCAACTTAAAAGAAAACACGTGCTCTAACATACGTTCGAGAGGGAAATTTTTGGAGTAAAATAAGTGAAAAAACAGTAGCAAAAAGCTATCACAAATGTAATCTTATTCCCAAAAAATAATTACTACTAATTCTCATATCTTAGAAAATTACATAATATTTGATTTCTAGTAGGAAACACAAAGCAACAAGTAGGTAAATCATAGCTAGGAATGCTGAGCATGTTGTCTTTAAAGAAAATTAATAAAAGCGCGTGTGAAGATTAAAGTTTCGTTTGGGACATCTTTCTTCTTAAAGTAGCTTTCTAATACAAAAATTAAATTTTTTGAACTAAAAAGTTGTTTTATAAAACAATAAGAATGTCGTCCCAAATGAAGCTAAAGTAGATAATATATAATGCTAGAAATCCTATATTTTAAAGATTGTAGCGAATAAATGACTAGGAAGAGAGAAAAGAGAAGTAGGGGACTTCCTTCAGCAGCACATGCATAATCATAAAATACATGTTTATTATATTAGTTGGGCTATTGCATTAACCTTTATAAATCTATTATAAGAATAACGTGGATTCTAATGAACTAAATGATAAAAAGTGTAATAAGTAAAATATGGTGGGCTGCTAACCTGACCTATCAAGTGATGAGATAACGAGTACATAAAATACTGAAAGGTTTCATCTGTCATGAGAGTTAGCAAGGTTCAACGGCTAGATGAATCTGGAGTGTTTGACAAAATTCCTAGAGAATGTTCTATGGAGGAGTCCAGCTTCATTTATCACTTAGTGGTTATTACCATGATAGAACCACCTCCCAACATATAACTATCTTGAATAAAGTGATATTATATCAAAATCAATGGGTCAGTGAAAGAAGTGATAAGGGTAATTATACCCAAATAGTTTAAATAATTGTAGATAATAGTAACATTAAGCAATATGGATAAAAAAAAATTTGTTTCATCGGTATGAATCTCAAAGCATTATTAATATCAAAACTTTCGAAATTAGATTTAGAATCATATGAATTTCAATTTTAATAAACTTATAGCCAAACCGAAGATCTTGATAGTATGAACCCAATGAAATAAAAGGCGATATGATTCGAGTACTCCTAATTAACTCAAATCAAACCCTTGAAGTATAGTAAAAACCACTAGCATATTAATCAGAGGATAAAACAGTTCTTAAATCTTGCATGCTTTCGTTAATTAGATTAGTTTGATGTGAATAATATAATAAGGCCAAGATCACTTGTTTCCAAGGACATTAAAAGGCTTAAATGTTGAATAAATCTATGATCAATGTATTCAATATGAGTCATCTGATATGGTGTTATGAAATTTTGGTTAAATTTACTAAAATACAAATTCTCACAGTGTTGCAAATAGACCCCCAATCTTAACTTAAAAAGAGGGATAAACTTAATTTTAAAAAGATCTTAGAGATCTAAAGAACTACAAAGCTCTACTTGACGTTCAACACTGACGATCACTATCATCTGACTGTCATTGTCTAACTATTGTCGCATGACTACTATTATTTGATCATCTTCATCTTATTATTATCCTCTTGCTGCTTTCACTTGACCGTCATCATTTAATTTTTATTATCTGATCACCAACATTCAACCATATTCGCATGACCGTCATCATCTAACTATCGTTGATCAATTGATATCATTCATCCACCACCATCCTCTCTCTACTACTCTAACAATCTTTCATAACCTAACCCGATAATACCCATAGACGATCAAGTCCTAGTATGTTGGCTTGCAATAGACCAACTGTTGAACTCATTTATGTATAAGGCCATCATGATCCATTCAGACTCATGCATGTTGATCTCATGGTTGACAATCATACAGTTGTCAATAAATCCAGACTTCAACCCAGACTTTCAACATCCTACCACTTCCATTTATAAGTTGAGAACATGATGCACAAGATTACATGAGACCTCAAATCAAAATTAATGTGGAATATCTCACTCTTCCTTCTCACCATTACAAGATCTAAATGGCCACAACACACCCATTCCCTCAGTCACTCTCAAAAGTGGTGGCATGACCACCTTATCATTCTATTCGACATAAAGCAATGGTCAAATTTCTCATAAATCTAGAATTTTATTCATACATGGTCCGACACATCCAAGCTTTTGGATAAATACAACATGAAAAAAGAAAATGAAATCCAAAATGGTTGTCACATCAAACACGCTCTAGCACATGATCATTCTCCATACTTAGCCCAGTATGTGCATTCGATCAAGGTACTCCACAATGCATTGAACAATCTAGTAAAAACTCTCCTGCTTAGCCCGACTAAGCAAGCCTCACAATTCAGCCTGCATCGAGCACATACAAATCCATATGGCCACCACCTTCTCTTTCATGGAGGTGATCTCCTCCCTCATATCAGTAACAACAATAACCTACCCTTCAATATGATGACCAAGGAACCTCATATTCCATCTTTCCGTGGCCCCATAAAAAAAGGGAAATCAACTTCACCCTTTGTAACTCCAAACCCTCTGGTCAAGCATCCCACCATAGAGATAATAGGAGTTGTCACCTACTTTGTCTTCACAACATGACCAAATGATCACTCATCTTCGACAATAATCAGCTCCCCATCATCAACTTGCCTTTTTTTCAACGGAGAGCTAGTGATCATGTCAATCGAGTACAAGGACATACATCCTCCTCTAAAAATAGGCTTATTCGATACATTCCCCACCATATTTGTAGCTTTCATCCCCGAGATCTCCTGCAATTTCTTGTAAGCGACTCTTCAGGTACCCTTATTTGCAGAAGGATCCATCGCACTGAAACTAAGTAAGGCTTATAGTTGAAAAAAAATTACATGTTTGCATCAAACCCAAAGCTAGTATTTATAAAGAAATTGTTGACCTCTGGATTAAGCTTAAAAAAAAAAAGAGAAAACAAAAAAAAAAAACCTGTGCTGAAATCCCGCCGAGGTTCTGCCAAAAATCCCGCAGAAATCCTGTAGCAGTCTGCGAATAGCGCCGCCCTCGTCAAGTCCTCCGCAATCCCTGCCGAAATCCAGCTCTCGATCGTCGCCCCATTCTAGTCTTTAAATACCGAGCAAACGAAGTCACTCGGCGCTGGCTCTCCCTCTCCCTGTTTCGCTCTTCCTCCACGACCGAGACCCACGACCTCCACTTGAATCCCGATCTCCGACCCGACGCCTCACTGAAGCTGACCGAGCCTCTCGTTTCCTCTGCCCGAATTCCACCTCTGCTCCCTTCAATCCCCAGCCCCGTCGAGCACTTGCCGGCGCCGACGTCCCACGCAAGCAGAGAAAGAGAGAGAGAGAGAGAGAGAGAGAGAGAGTGAGAGAGCGAGAGAGATAGAAGGATCTCTACCTCAACAAGCCGAATCCCACCACCTATATCCCGTCGCCTGTAGGGGCTCAAACCGACATCTCCCTCCCTGTCGGATCGGACCATACGCCATTTTGATCGGAAGAAGCAACAGTGGGAGCACACTGTTGTGAAGGTAGTTTGCTCCCTTTCAAGCGCTTCTTCGGTTTGACCCCGTGAAACCGAAAGGGGAGAGGGAGATGTTTTTTTTTTATATATATATTTATTATAATTATTTTTTAATGTAATTAAGTATAATTAAATTAGGCTTAATTATAATTAATTATGTTAATTATTAATTAATTATAATTAATAATAATTAATTTCGTCCAGTC